AACTAAAAAGTTATTGTATGGTTAAAGGAAGCTTCCTTATCTTGGTTGTATGCATAAATTATTAATTTAAGGGGGTGTTTGAGATTGTTTATTTAAAATAACTTATCAACTTATTATAAGTCAGAAGAGTTTAATTTCTTTAAAAAATTCTTATTACCGGTTTGACACCGGTATAAGTTGTTTATCTAAACACTCAAAAGTACTTATTATTGATACCACACCGAAATAAGTTAATAAGTTGTTTTTATAAACAGTCCCAAACACCCCAAAACAAGTGTTTGAGGTAGGGAAAATTAAGGAGTTTTTTTTTTTCGAACAATTTTTTAAAATTAAAAAAGTATGAAAAATGAATATTTAAAAAAAATAACATTTTATTAAATATATAAAATATTTTAATATATAAATATAAAATAAAAAACTTTTTCTTTTCTTTTTGTAGATGTTGAATTTTGATTTATTTTTTAAAAAATGTGATAAGACATATTGACACCATAAGGAAGCTTCATTCCTTGCTTTGCTTTGCATAAATTCATAATTTAAAGGAGTGTTCACATGAGATAGAGAGGCAGCAGAATGTCTGAATTTAAATTAAAACAAGATCGAATTATAAATTGGTTTTTGATATAATGATAGTCAATCATCTCGATTGTGGTCCACTGATTAAACCTTAGGGTGTGTTTAGTGTTTAAATAAGATAGAACAAAACAAGACATGATATGACATGACATGATAGAATAACTGTTCAATGTTTGATAAGATAAAACTGGACAGAACAGAACAGAACAAGTAAAATGACTAATTTACCCCTGATAAGTTGTTTATCTTAATTAATTTATGTAATTTATTAAATTATAATAGAATAATTGTTTTTTTATAACAAAATATATCATTTGAAGTTTTCGTCAAAACAATTAAAATGACATCAAATAAAAAGTTTATGTAGTTTTCTATTTTTATTTTTAACTCCTTTCTACATTATTTATTATTATTAATATATAATAAATTAATAAAAATATAGAAACCGTATAAAAATAATATTTTGAGGACAGTAAAATGAAAGTGTAAGAAACATAAAATACGATAAATAAAATTTAAAGAATGAATAAAATGTAAAAATGAGACCTATTTGATGTTTTAGAAGAAAATTAAGTTTTATTTTGAGGTTATATTGATAAAATAAAGTTTGTTTCACCTTGTTCCATCCTGTTCCATAGGGTAGGGGTGGAACATGCCTGTTCCACTTTGTTCCACTCTGTATCTATCTGTTCCACATAAAATTCATGTCAAACATGGAACAAGGATCTCTGTCTTGTCCAGTGTACCAAACGCACCTTCAAGGGGATGTAGTGGAAACATCATCTACCTCGGGTTCGAATTCAGGTGTCGTCAAAACCCTTGTGACCGTGGAGGTTTATTTGCGATTACTACAAGCCATTCATGATCGCCTGATCAGTACGTAAGTTGACCCAGAACCCACAGTTACTTAAAAAAGTCGCCTAACTAATCAATTACTACTTTATATTTACATTTGAGTTCATTTGACATTTCGATGAAAAAACATATGTATCACAACGACAATTACAAACATCAAAGCTACATTTTCTCCACCCCTTTGCATGCATAAAAAATTTATAAATTAATCAATACCGTACATATAATAAGAATCTGTAATTAGTATGATATAATTGACAAGCAATTCCTTTGATCAATCGATCAATCTGGTCAAAACAAAATGAAACATCTTGGTTCAAGGGAAGTATGCATCTTCATTTGGAGATTAAGGAAAAGGTAGGGTCCCAATGTGTTTGGTGCTTGCAAATCAAGGTTTAGATCTTTACTTTTCCTTATAACATCGGTGTAGGGGACAAAATTGAATTGGTAGATCATTGTATAATTCGTTGCAAAGGATTCTCGAATGTGTGGTTGAAGGTTTTCGGTTGGTGCTGTTCCCCCCCCCCCCCCCCCCGCTCTTGCTTCCTTCTTCTGCAAAAAGGGTGTGACATGCGATACTTTGGATTTCTATGTACATGAGGTGGACATTATGTAATAAACGGGCATTACCAGATCGGGTTAATTCTCAATCGGATTTGTTTTTCGACATTCAACTTTTATCGGTTTGTTGGTTATTCATCATTCAAAAGCTATATTTCTTCTTGGGCAGATTGGTGTTGCAACCCGAGATCCAGTTTAGGAGACGACTCTTGGTTTTGGTGCATGGTTGTCCTCAAGTGTTTGCTCTTACGGGTTTCTTAGTCTCGTTCAATTGTGTTTGGTTGGTTGTCTTGGTCTTTCATAGGTTGTTTTGTCTGTATTTTTGTCTCTTTTTCTTTATTTTATTTTTAGTTAGGTCTCTATATGTTGGGGTGACTCCTGCTTTAAAATTTTCAAACAATAACGCCATATAACATTTCATTCCTTTATAACCATTACCATATATAGAAGATCATATAAAGTTGGTGAATGACACAAAATTTTTAATATAAAATGGATCTTAAAACTAGGGGTGTTTATTTAAACCGTCAAATCGTTCATACTGAATCGTAAAATACAATTTAAAATTTTCACGGTACAGTTTGTGATTTGCATTTTTACCAAACCGCAGTATATGGTGCAGTTTGTAGTTTTGAGTCATCAAACCGCGGTTCAAACCGTTCTGCATCGCATATTTTCTGTATTTTTTATTTTATATATAACACATATTTATTATTTATACTTCTTCATTGTCCATTAATGTCCAAAGTTTTGGGCTTTGATCCATGATATAAATAAATTAAGCCTAATAATTCATTACACTTTTAGGCTTTAAGCAAACATCCACGTTCACGTCATGAATCTCGGGCTTCTTCCCTAATTTACTCTCAAGTCTCGAGTTTCAAATATTTCAATTTTTAGATACAACCAAAGTCTTAGGTGGCGTTTGTTTTTTAAGAGGTGCTGAAGTCTGAAGTCTGAATTCACTTCTGAATTTTAAGAGGTGGTGCCGAAGTCTGAAATCTGAATCAGTCAGACTGTTTGTTTTTACGTCTGAAATCTGAATCAATTCATTTCAATTAAATTTAACTGAAATATCCAATCATTTAAACGAAATTCGTGTTCAAACGATCCAAGCTCACAATGGAAATCAGAAGTGGAATCACTGTTAACATCATGAACTTGATTATGATCGTTTCCAATGCCTAATGTTTTTC